ATGAACCAAGCAGTCTACCGTAGGGTCATAGGAACAACTGTGTTAATGGAATTGCTGATTATCTCCCCAAAGCTCACCTGCTGTCAATGCTATCAAGGGATTTATGTCACAGATTAAACATTTCTGACCTCTTCTCACTGCATTTAATATCAGGGATCCTCAGAAATGCATCCAAACATGACGTTTGGGCCAAGTTTGGGTCAGCTGAGGTTAATGAATTGGTTTTGGAGAAGAGTCTAATGGATGAACCCATTTTTTTGTTTGTTTGTTGTTGTGTTTTTTTTTCCCCCTTCTTTTTTAAAATACCACCATACTGGGACCTTTTGAATTTCAGTTGAAGGTGCGGGGGGGGGTTAGTGTTTTTATGTTTAGATAATAAATCGGTTTCTGTCACAATATGAGAGTTACTGGCTGTCATCTGTCACTAAAGCAGCTGTTTTTTTGTTTTTCCAGTGGCTTTTCAAAAGTCCTGCCCCAGGCCTGCATCCTTTCCCAGTCATGTAAATGCTATGAACATGTTAGAAACAGCCAGACTGTGATGGAAATATCATCCACATGCCATTCAGGGTGCTTTCCTGTCCCCTCTACCTTCCATGGTGAAGTACTGTAGTTGTGATTGACACAGATTAATATCCCCTTTAACAAAATAACTTCTACTACATGGTTTGTAATCAGTTTACTGACCCTACCCCTTGTTTGAGCAGAAAATAGGCTGGTGTATTGTGAGAGAGCCGCTCGCTGGCATGCTAGTGTTATATGGGTTAAGAGGTAAAGATGTAAAGAATTTGATTGGTGCCTTACTTTGTGGAGTGCCAGCCTCGGTTAAATGCGCACTGCTCTCTTCCCAGTTTAGGTTAAGCTGGTTTTAATTGTCCTCTTGTTTCCAGAAAGAACACCTAACATAATCTTTTTAAACAGCTTCTTTTCTATATACAATGTTTTTATCTAAAACATAATGCTAAGCATGCTTTGCAGAAAGGTCTTTTTCTCATTGCTAGCAAATCTGTTTGTGTCTCTGTCACACTCTGTTACAATGCAGTATTTAGAAAGTTCTGACAGTAACTTTAATGGAAATGGATGCAAAGCACTCTAACAAACATGAACAACAGAGTCAGAACATTAGCACATTTGCTCTGTGCTGTAAATTGATGGTCTCAACAGAGTAATATATACATCATATTTTTCCTTAAAGTATTTATGAGAGGGGCCAAGACATTAAAGGCTATGGTGACAAAGCATTTTACCTGTATTTTAACATATCCAGTAGCATTATTTACTCAGCACCTTTAAGCGTCCAGAAAAGTCCAAACTATGTGTACATGGGAAACATTTACAACAGCTTCTCTTTGCAACTCCATACTGTATAGATGATGTTGCTTCTCATCATTGTGTACGGTAAAGGTTGTTTTGCTATGTGTCAGAAATTCACAGCTTTAACCTGACAGATCTCCTGAATAAACAGGACTGCAACCATCCCCGTGCATATGTGTGATATGTTCATGCATATCTACTGTCCACATAACACGTACAATGCAAGGAAAATAATCTGAACAGTAATTCTTTCTTAAAGGAAACTGCTGTAAGGCTTTAAAAATGGAAAGCACATCATGAACTTCACTTGTAGTTCACTGACTCATGATGGCTCATGTAAAAAAAGCAGAAGTGCCGAACAAGATAATGAGAGAATTTCACTTGACAACATTACTTGGAACAAGTAAAAACACCTATAAGTTAAACAGTCTTATAATCTTTCAACAACCTCAAAATGACTCCCTCCTCCTGAAAGGATAATATCACAACTCTATGAATGAATCCAGTCCATTAAAGTTGACTCCTTGGAGGTGATTAAATCTTTAGGGGAGGAGGATTTATAGATCAATCTCACAGAGAGAAAGAGGGATGAAATTCTTTAAAAAAAAACATCTTCTATTTGCGCCAAACATGGAATTATTCAATGTAAAATTCTTCGCTGAGTTTACTGGACCAGGGTCAGATTAAAAAAAATTACCCAGAAATAGACCCACTCTGTGATCGCTGACATTCAGCCCCAGCCTCTTTAATTCACATGCTCTGGTCTTGTCCATTGCTTTGTAGCTATTGGTCTGATTTTTTATTAGCAGAGGTTTTGAAGGCGCAATGCAAACCTAATCCAGTTACAGCATTGTTTAGAATTCTCCCTCTTACAGAATCTCCAATTTTGTGCCATTTCTGACCCTTTTGGCCAGACACCTTATAGTGCTACGTTGGAAGTTGCCTGCCCTCCCAACTCATTCTCTCTGGATTAGGGATACACTTCACCATGCTACCCTTGAACGTGTTCGATGAACCTTAGAAGGTTCCACTCTAAGATTTAATGAAATATGGCAACCCTTTTTTACCCATGTGAAAAAACTCTCTAACTTTACTGGCCCTGAGTAACATTTAATCACTGTACCAGATGTTGACCACAATCACTGGCATTTAACCTAAGGGCTGTCTGATCCCTGCTTAATGCACACCTTTTTTTAGTTATATAGAATATTTTTCTTCATATATATTTATATATTTTTTAATTTTATTAAACTTTTTTCCTCTTACTTTAATGCTTTGTACTGTTTGTTGTTTGTACATTGCATTTGGTTACACGTTTATTAAAACAATAAAAAGATTTCCAAAAAAAATAATCTCAAAATAAGAAATATTACATACATTGGCTAGACATAAGATAATTTCACTTGCCAAGGTATCATTTTTGCCGTGTGATTGTGATAGCTGGATTTCGTATGCTGACTTGTGGACCAGCTAGCAAACTGCACACCTGAATCATTGCCTGAAAACATGTTGAACTCCTAAGTAATCTCCAACAGATTTGCTCATGTAAATGGAAAATGTGATATATGATTTTGCTAAGCTATCACTTTAAACACTGGCGGTGCTCTTGCTGTAATTTTGGCTTACATAGAAAATAATTATTGTTCACCTAAAGCACACATTCTAATCTTCTGACAGGCTAACTTTGTACTCTGTTGAACCAGTGCAAGAACATTAATGTGTGGATACAGTCTAGTTGGCTGTAGCAGAGCACCAGGGATGCTATGGAAGAGTAGGCTTTCACATCTGTCATGCTGTGGCCTTATAATTAATTAATATATTCATTTATTTATTAGCTGTTTTGTACAGTTCACCAGCTGTCATGTCTTTGTGGACGCTTTTGGACTGCATTCACAACAGGATACTGCTACGCTAAATAGTAAGCCTATTCTAGATAGGTTAGTGTGTCCCCAAAACCACAGTATTCATCAAGGTGTAGACAAAAAGTGGGCAACATCTGAAGTCTGGACACTAATTTTGGACATTTGACAATTATTCTGTTGTCCCACACTCACATGAATGCAGTCAAGTTAAAGAGGAATTACCATAATTTTCCAAAAGTTCAATGTAATTCAGTCTTTAAGATGTAAACAAAGTCATTCAGAGTGGTTAGATGTGAAATGCACTGTTCTACAGAAACTTACTGATTCAGAATAGTTCACATCAGCAGATCATTCTTAGCACTGCAGTAACACTGACGTGGTGGTGGTGTGTTAGTGTGTGTTGTGCTGGTACGAGTGGATCAGACACAGCAGTGCTGCTGGAGTTTTTAAACACAGTCCACTCACTGTCCACTCTATTAGACACTCCTACCTTGTCAGTCCACCTTGTAGATGTAAAGTCAGAGATGATAGCTCATGTGCACTGAGGTGTTTAAATACTCCAGCAGCACTGCTGTGTCTGATCCACGCATACCAGCGCAACACACACTAACACACCACCACCATGTCAGTGTTACTGCAGTGTTGAAAATAATACCCAAATAATACCTGCTCTCTTGTGGTCCTGTGGGGGTCTTGACCACTGATGAATAGGATAAAGGTGGGATAACAAAGTATGCAGAGAAACAGATGGACTACAGTCTGTAATTGTAGAACTACAAAGTGCTCCTATATTAGTAAGTGGAGCTGATAAAATGGACAATGAGAGTAGAAACAAGGAGGTGGTCATAATGTTGTGGCTCATCAGTGTATAGGCTTTACCATTGCAATTAGAGTGAACACACTCAAAAAAGATTCAAGGGTTCTTTAGTAAACGGAACAGTTCTGTTTAGAACTATGAGTTATAAATAGAACCATTTCTTGCTTAAATTTAGAACCACAAGTTCCACATGCATGGTGAAATGTCCTTCAGATTGATGGAGAATATATATGGTTCTATATGGAACCTTTTTGAAAATGGTTCTATCTAGCACCAAAAAGTGTTCTGCTATTGTTACGATGTCAAGGTCAACAATAAAAGAGCTCTTTTTGGTACCACGTAGAACCATTTTCAAAAAGGTACTGTATAGAGCCATATACAACACTTTCTCCCTCAATCTGAAACACCATTTCGCCATGCAAGGAACCGCTTAAGAATAAATTTTCTTCAAGCGTTCTTTAGTAATATAAAAGGTTCTATAAAGAACCATGAATACTCAAAGAACCCTTTGCATGATTAAAAGGTTCTTTGCGGTGTAAAAGCGTTCTTTAGATTAATGGAGAATGTGCTGTAGATGGTTCTGTATACGCCTTTTTAAGAAGAGTTCTGTATAGCAACCAAAAGGGTTCTTCTATTGTTACAAGCTTGACATCATAGCAACAGAAGAACCCTTTTCAGAAAGGTTCTCTATAGGACCATCTATAGCCCATTCTGAAGAACCCTTTCATGATGCAAAGAACCCTTTAATCATGCAAAGGGTTCTGAGTGTTCATGGTTCTTTGCAGAGCCATCTTTTTTAAGAGTAATGAAATGGTTCATAGAATTTATGGTTCTAAACAGAAACATTAAAGAACCATTTAGATGTGTAATAGGTTTTGGAAGTACTGATTGTCTTTATCACAGGGTGGCGGTAGAAATCAGCGACTCGAGCGTTGTTTTCATCCTGCCTTGCTCTCCAACTCAGAAGGTGGCAACAACGCGCCGCAGTCCGGTGGCGAACGTGTGGAGGGAGAAGGAGGAGGACGAGACGGTTCTGGAGCGAGTTGCAGCGGGGCAGCAGAGCAGAGCAGCAGAGCGAGGCAGCGAGCTTCACCCCAACCCGCCCGTCTCCGTTTGGGAAGGCAATTCGGGCTTTTATCGCCCTCGAAATGAAGAGCAAAAGCTCCCCTTATCGCAGAGGACACCTTTAAGTTCGCGGCGGACCAAACACGGCTCACATTAATGGCTTAGTACGCGAGTTTGGAGCAGTTTGAGAAATGAGGGAGACGACGACGGCGGTTTTCGCTCCCTCGTTGTCCAACGGCGAGAGGACAAGATGGCAGCTCAGCAAGTGTTTTGAGCATGGTGTGGGTGCATATTAAATCCCTGACATGTTCAGAGAAGCCTCGCATTTCGACGACGGTTGCTGGCTGTGAAGGTACGGCTGCAGTTGCTTCGGGAAACGAATCGCTTTGCAAAATACCGAGCTCGTTAGCTTAGCCAGGGAGCGAGCTAACGCGCTAACACCAGCCAGCGTTTATCAGTGCTGGAGACCAGCTAGCACTTCTGCTACTTAGGTTAACAGTTGGTGGTCGGTGCGGGAAAAAAGTTGCTTTTTCACTCTATTTCGCTTCTTAGGACAGCGTTAAGCGACTATAGACAGCCAAGCTAGCTGGAGCGAGTGAAATATGAAATGTTAGAGCGTTTATTTTGAAGCTAACATGTATAAGTCCGCGCTTGTTTTCCTAAGTTTCAGTTCAGTGTTGATCGTTGTCATCGTCCGTCACTCGACGCTTCGCTAGCTAACAGGCTAACTTATCAACCACAGCCGAGTAGCTGGGTGTAAAGTTTACTTCGCTGATAACAAGTGTGTGAGTTTCAAACGTGTACGTGTGTTTTTTTCCAAATAACTGTTGCAGTGTGTCTTTTTCCTCTGTGGTTTAGCCGTTTTGCAACTTCAGCTTTCTTTTCTAAACTCATTTGTTTAGTCAGACTGTTGCAAGTAAGTTAGCTAAGCTAACGTTGCACAATGACGGATTGCACTTTCCCAACAGGCAAACAGTCTGGAGCTTTTTATTTAAGGTTACTCCAAGACTAGATTTGCCAGGGCATTATGTGCAGCGGGAGTTCTTTGTGGTAAGAAATTAAGACTTGTGCAGTTTCCTCTGGGTTATATAAACATGGGCATGTTGGCCTTTCAGGAACAGACTGCTCGTTGTTGTTGTTGTTGTTGTTAATCTGTCTTGTAGATTTGCGAGCACTTCACTATGAATATGTGGAGATTAGAGCTGGGCAGTGTGACAATATTGATCGTTATCGTGATAAATTACATCACAATATCTCACGATATGCTTCTCTGTGGATATCAACAGTATTAAAAAATCACTTCTCAACTGCAGGAGATTAATTAGTCCTGTTTAAAATGACTTGGTTCAGACCATTGTGTGAAATGTTGAATGATTTTGATGGTATGTTTTAAAATGTGGCACTACTGTGTTCTCACTTATCAGATGTCAGAATAAATAAATGGTGTGATGCATCATGTATCATAAAAAACAAACAAAAAAAACAAAACAAACAAAACTTCCTGAAGTATTGAGATGTATTTTGCCATGTTGCCCAGCTCTAGTGGAGATCTTCCCTGTTGATTTAGGCAGCTAACTACCAATGCATCCAAGTGTTTTGCATGCAAATACTGCTCTTTATGTGTTTTAATCATTAAGCTCTTGTTAAATTTAGTTTAAAAGAGACATGGGATTGCAGTTAGGGGTGTATGATGATATCATATGATGGTGATGAATCATATCACTGTTGGCAGATAAGTTGTTAAAATAATTATATGGATTGGATGTTTAGATTTGACTGATGTTTCAAACCAATTTTTGATGTGTGTTGTAGTCCAGAAGAGCAAAACGGTTAAGCGACCCTGAGCTGCTTTGCTAACACAGCTGTGTTTTATTCATTTTGCCTCATGTGTAACCCTCAGAGTGCATGTATAGTGTTACATTTTTCTCTCAGGTGTGTCTTAGTCCCAATTTCTACATTTTATATAAGTGTACGTGTTTGCATTGGCTTAATGAAAAATCTCGGATATCGGCCTTGGCCCCCAATTCCCATATCGGTGCCTCCCTAGCTTGGAGGACGACTGAAAACAAAGGCGGGAGTGACCCTTTTATTTGCTAACACTTTCTGCCAAGAAGAAAAATCCTCTCTCATTAAGCTGTTTTTGTTTTGGGGCAAATGCAACTCCCTGTAATTTCCTGTTGTTTGTGTGAAACAGTTGCAGTGTCAACAGGTGTTTTTCTCCCTGCTGCCCCCCCTCCTCCCTGCCTAACCCTATTGGTTACTGACGTGGGGAACGGGTCAGTTGCCACCTGTCCCTGGCAGACGGCAGCAGTTGAAAATACAAGACAGAGAGAGGCGTAACTCAACACCTTGGCTGGAGTAACCTAATGGACGCAGCAGGGTCATGCTGCTTTGGGCTAAGAAAGCCCTGCTTACATATGGTTTAAGCTTAGCAGCGCTGAAGGGATCTCCAGTTACAAGCTTAAAAAGAGCCTTGTGTTAGGGCTGGACGCTATTGAAAAAAAGTTTTGTGAAAATTTCCATGGACATTCCAGATTAGTTAGCATTAATAAAGTTAACATGGTAGTGCTTATAATTTTAGACTGAGTCCTGGTACTGTATTCCAAAATTATACCTTACAAACACAGACAAGACATAGTGGCTTGTTTACACTGGACTGTAATTTCCAGACAGAATTTTCCCGAAAGGAAAATTACTGTTTAATGGATTTTAAACTGTTCTTTTAAAATAATCTGGAGCATCTGGTTAACTGTCAGGTCCCATACTTTGCTACATGAACACTGTGATGGGTATTATATCATTGACATGTTACTAAAACATTGCGAAAACTGAAAAAGCAGTTTCATAGAAAGGTGGGCAATATGTTGATATTTTATCATTAGATATTGTTCACTTATTACTTTTCTGTGCGTCATCAATGCTTTGAAAATACTATCCAATTGCACGTTAAAAAGACAGCATAATTAGTCCTGTTTAATTTGATTTAGTGCAGCATAGTATGTAAAAATGCTGAATAAAAATCATTGTGCCAAGTGTTTTTGGCTGTTTTTAAATATGGCATTAGTAGTGCATTGTGTCTCTGTGTAAAATATGTATTGTGTTTCATGAAAAGTTATACCGTAAAAGTTACTATAAGTATTGTGATGTGTTATTTTTGCCATATCGCCCACCCCTAGTATCACAGTATACCCGTGTTGACGATAAATGGCCCAGGCTTTTTTGGGACTTGGATATCTTGAGATTTAATGATTTGTGAAAACAACACTTTCATGTTGTTTTGAAAGACTGGTTGTTTGGTGCTTTTGATCATCAGATATCTTTGACGAGACTGAGTTATGAAAACTTTGGTTTATAGCTCATGTCATTGCCTAGAGGTTTTTCTGTCAATCAGTTTCGCATCTCTGCAGCCAGACTCGAACCAGAATTGTTATTGGTCCGCTCGTCGTCCACCTACTCGTCGTTTCATGCCTGCCTTAACCTTCTCATTAAAGTTCTCAGACATGCCTTAGAATTTCATAATCCTTTTCATGGTTTACATTCCTTGTTCTGTCTCTGTGGATTCTTATACATGTAATACAGGAGTGTGTGTGTCTTTTCTGCCACACCTGTTCTCCACTTTTCCTGTTCTCCTGTCCGAACTTGTGCCATATGTTGTGCCAGCATAAGTAGCTCCTGTGTAACTAGCATGACTAATCTCCACCAGCTTAATAGCAAGGCTCTGCCAGTTAATGGTACTAGATTCTGAGACTAGTTTGCAATGCACAGGTTTGAATATTTTTATGCATATTAGCCGAATTACTATTCCATTAGTATGTTGCACAGGATGTAATTAGCATTACAAAGAAAGTAGTTCTATTTTTGAGCTCTCTTGAGCGTGACGTTAAAATCAGTAGTTCTGCTTCTCCAGAAAAGGTCTGTACCTCACAAAGACAGAGAGGGAGTGGAGAAAAAGAATGAAAAGAAAAAAAAAGTGCATAAACCTTAAAAGTAATTATTGATTTTGTATTATGCAATTTGTATTCTGTATCGACAGCATCTTCATTCTGAATTTGTTCTAATTTGCTTTGACTGACAAATGACAAAAACACTCCAACAACATGCTTGTTGAGACCACTCCAGCTAAGTTTTTGTCAAATTCAAAGCATGATAAAATATTTTTTTCAGTGGGGCACTGCTGGTACATTGTGTCTGTTCAAGCATACCAAATCTCAAACATCAAGATATTGATTAGAGTTGTCAAATTATTACAGCAGTCAATTATGATTAATCTTAGTTAGTCATGATTAACCACGTTTGTCTTATTTGCTTAACTCTGACCAGTAAGAAATTTTTTTTCATTTAAAAAGCAGTGCGTTTGTTGTAGCTATATGAGAGGACAACATATTCCTGATCAAAACTATGGAACTATGGATTGTTTCTTAGTAGAAACTAAGAAAATGCGCTTAAAAAAAAATCGGGTTAATAATTTATGTTATTATCTTTGACACCACTAATCGTGTATTGAGAAAATGTCTTAACGTTTTATGATGTTGTGTTTTTTCTGTATCGCCTGCCGGAATGATATACAATTATAACAATATGAAGTACTCCCATGTTGGTGTCAGATTATGCCTGAGCTAATCATCTTTCCCCTGTGTTTTCCAGGTATGGCCTCACAGGTTTTGGTCTGCCCACCGCATGTGTATCAACCCCAGACAAGTGCCTTTAGCAGTGTGAGGAAAGCGGAGGCAAGCGGCTGTGTGTACCATGAGAAGACCCCTCGCACCTACGTGGTCGGTGTGAATCTTGGCATTGCGCACCCAACCAATATTGTCCCTTCGTTAAAGACAGAAGTGTGGGAGGGCGCTAGACCCCGTGGTGCGCCGGACCCGTTACAGACTGTGTGTTCTTCGTCGGCTCCTGTGAGGCGTCCCTCGCCCTACAGGTGCGTGGAGCCGGGAGGAGTTGTGGGGCGTAGTTTCGGCACGGTCACAGCAGGTGAGGAGGACAGAGGAGACGGTGGCCAGAGCAGCCAGAACAGAGCTTCTGGAGGAGCAGGTGGAGGTGAGGTAGAGGGGGAGGGAGAGGGGGACGAAGAGGAGGAGGAGGAGGAGGGGAGGAGAGGAAGGAGCGAAGGTTTGAATTCTGTAGACGGAACCCTACGATGTGGGTTTAAACGCAAAGGTGAAGAGCTGGACAGTAACAGTAAGAGCACCATGCAGATAGTAGAGGAACATTCCACGCTACCTGCCATGCTGCAAAGCAACGTGGGGAGTACAGCCACAGGTGTGGCGCCCTCCAAACAGAACGGCACAGGTGTGGGCGGGGCAGCTGCAGGAGGGGATGGGGACTACCAGCTGGTTCAGCATGAGGTCCTCTGTTCCATGAAGCACACCTACGAGGTGTTGGAGTTCCTGGGCCGAGGAACTTTCGGTCAGGTCGTCAAATGCTGGAAGAGAGGCACCAACGAGATCGTGGCGGTGAAGATCCTGAAGAACCACCCGTCGTACGCACGGCAGGGCCAGATCGAGGTGGGCATCCTGGTCCTCCTGAGTGGCGAGAACGCAGAGGAGCACAACCTGGTGCGTGCCTTTGAGTGCTTCCAGCACCGAAACCACACCTGCCTGGTTTTTGAGATGCTGGAGCAGAACCTGTACGACTTCCTGAAGCAGAACAAGTTCAGCCCGCTGCCGCTGAAGATCATCCGGCCAGTGCTACAGCAGGTGGCCACGGCGCTGAAGAAGCTGAAGAGCCTGGGCTTGATTCATGCTGACCTCAAGCCTGAAAACATCATGCTGGTGGACCCCGTCAGGCAGCCCTACCGCGTGAAGGTCATAGACTTTGGCTCAGCCAGCCATGTCTCCAAAGCAGTGTGTTCCACTTACCTGCAGTCGCGCTATTACAGGTGAGCATGAATTTGGTTTTCATTATATTTTAATTTTCTTTTTTGTATGTGAGCGTGAGATTGTGCTTCTTGTTTTTGTGTGGCTGTGGGATTTTTATGTATATAATAGAGTTTTGTGTGGGTAAATTGTCTGAGATGTAATACTGTCATGTAACAGTGGTTATTTTTGTTACTTTCACATTTCAACTTTACGGGAAAAGGCAAAAAGTATTTACTGTTCAGAACCACCAGTGAACATACACGTTTTCTGAGTTTCATATGTAATTTTGATTATATCAGTGTAGTGGTAAAAAAGAAAAAAAGGGTTTCCTTTGCCTCACAACACCCTGCATTCTCTACAGTGAATAGTTTAAAAAATTGTTGTATGCCAGAAGCTCTGAAAACTATTGTAAAACAATGTTTCAGGCATCAGGCAGTGTATTTGTAATCATTTCATGTAATAACTTTCTTTAAGGAAGCTTTTACAGGCATTAAGCTCTTCATACGTCTGGTTCTTTACCACCACTGCGAACAATTGTAAGTTGGTAAATCTCCCTATAACAGATCCTTACAGAGCATTTCACTTCAAACCACTCTGAATGTCTTTGTTTACAACTAAACTATTTAATTATGCAGAAATTTTGAAAAGTTACCCTTTAACTTTGATTGCACGTCAGTGTAACAGAATTTTATTCCAAGTCATTTTGGACCATCTCTGTAGGTCCATTCATCATGAAATGCTGTCAGTGTAAAGGGCAGCTGGCTTTTTCAGATCTTGTAAAGAAATGAAAAATAAAACCGCCCAAAATGGAGATACAGTGTTGTGTAGCCATATAGCCATATAGCCACACAGCCATTGCTTGAACGAATGTTAAAGCTTCAGAGCAGCAACTTGTCAATGTCTGAGCTGAGCTGTTGTAATTTGTGGGGCTTAATTTTTTAGGAAACTCAAGAGAGGAAGTTTTACTTCTGTAGTCTGCCAGAAGAATTATGTAATGTCGACTGTTTTCTGCAGGTTTAATTTTAAGCATTTTTTTCATTTCTTTTGTTGCCCGCTGTGAGGTTACACCCAAACGTCCTGTTATGTAACTTAACTTGGGCAGAAATATTTACAGAAGTGAGTAAAGCACTGATGCAATAATATTGAGTGAGTGAAAACATTTTGATCCTGAAATTAAGATGTTTAATAGTGTTTTCAGTAGCCGAGTAGATGATTCAATAAATGATTAGAGAGATGCTTAATTATGTGAGTTGTGCTGAAATCAGGCACACCAGCAACCTCTGCTGTGATTGTTCAAGTATTGTAGTTTGGATCAGATGTGCTTGAGTGTTTCAAGGTGGAAAAAATGAGCTGTTCTCACTTTGATGGCATGCAGAGTTATAGCTTTGAAGTATCTGTTAAGATGCATTAGCCTAGATAGAGAGCATTATGGAATAGCATAAACGTGAAATAAAAATATTGAATTGGTAGTTTAAAAAGTAAGATACTGGTTTAAAACTTTCAAGTGGTGGTAAAAGTAATGTCCTGGTTTAACTTCCAAATAAAATGTCGAAATGGCTTTAATTCTGGGTTAAAAGGATCCAAATTGGAATCAGTGGTACTCGTTTAAACTTGTTCAATTAAAATACCAACTGCAATAAAAATTCCTGGTTTAAAATGAATGTAAAGTATCAAAATGACAGTGAAAAGTAAAGTACTGGTTTAAAGTGATCTACCAAGTGTCTGATGCATCCTCAGAAGGAAACACTTAAAGTACATTCCTCCAGGGTCCTCCTTAAGTGCTTAAGCGTTTTCCCACCTTGGCAAATTTCTCTGAACGAGAAAATGTTGCATGCCTGAGAATCTGCCTAGCATGTTCACTGAGTTTTGTCCTTCAGGCTGTGCTTTGCGTAGGTGCATTTGCATCGGGACGTTTCTCACAGCAGTGTGGGACCCTCCCCAAAGCTTGTTTGGTGAGATGGTTGTCTGGACCACTTCAACTGTGTGGTGCCTCACTCCTTCTGTCTCAAGGCCGGCCTTAGTGACGAACACTGCGGTATATGTGACCATGAGCGCTCTCAGGGCCAGGCCCTGGGGAAGAACGCGGCACGTAAAAAGTCATATTTCACTGCCAGTGAAAGACGCTCTCAAATTAGGCTGTGCCTAGATTACTTTTTGAGCATGTTGCCTGGAGGTATTTTTAGATTTTTTCTTCATCGACTGTGTCATAGGTTTGTTTTAGCGTTATTATGTCAGCCGTGTTTTTAAAGAAATGTTTTCGAGGTTTTTCTCACAGGAGACCAGCTTAAAAGGCAAGAACTTTAACTGAGCCTTTTTTCTGTGCCTTTTTTTTATTTATTTATATTATTCATTCTACGATGGACTTTTTCTGACGATCATCATTTGTGCTTTTGGTGTGTTTTCACCAAATCTTAGTACTTTTACTCAGAAACGTGCCGAGTTCTCAGTGATCTGTGCAAACAAAAGTGCACCTTTGGTCCATCTCCTCTCTGAGGTTTTTGAATAGGCTCGATGTGGACATTACATAATGATACACCGAAGAGTACAGCGTGTCTTTGTATGCGTGTAGCCGTGACAGCTTGTGGTAAGGTTATCAGCTGAAACAGATAAAGAGGAACTTGGTCCTTGTATGTTGGCGGTTTAAATGGCCACAGTGATAGTTTTTGCACTTTGCACCATGTGTTTGTTGCTTGAATGTTGTCGGGGCAGCTCCGTGTTTGCTCTCCAGTTTCTTGCGGAGGGAGTGTGTGAACCCTGGTTGCACCCTCAACACACGAATGAGTCATGGTGACACACTTCCAAGACTTTGCAGCTATATTTTAATCAGCCTGATAGGCAGGGACGCTATATTGTGCTAGGAGGTTGTTATCTGTGATTAAACTTCAGCTGTCCTTGGCTGAAAAAAGCCGTTTCATAATTGTGGTGAATTTGGTGAAGTCTGAACTGCAGTTGTTTGGGCTGTTTGTGCTGTGTGGACTAAAGTTAGGAAGTGTTTCCAGTTTGCAGGTGTAACCAAAAAAAATGCTTTTGCATTTTTTCTATCAGGTGATTTCAATCTTCAAAATTGTAATGTTTCCTGACGGTAGACTGACAGTAGCTGTCGGTAGCTCAGTGTGTTCTTTTTGCAGGATATACAGGCTATAAGCAGCCACCCTAAGTATAATGACAACTAGATGTAATTTGTCCCATTTTAACAATCTCTAGTAGTCATTTTGTCCCATTTTAACAGATTCCAAAATATATTTTGTCATTGTTTTATGTACAAACCAGGGCACGGCACATAGCAAGATGCAGTATTAGCTGTGTGTGTTTCAACATTTCTGTGGTTCAGTGTTGCAGCTGACATTACAAAACCACACATGCCTTATTTGGATACTCAGCTAGATAAAACAAATACTGAAATGAGTTTGGATAACTGTATAATGTGTATTGCAGGCACATTGTATTATGTAGCCTTTATAAAATACTCAGAGAAACAAGATTATGCATAAATAAAATACGCAAATAAAAGTTAAATGGTTGTTTGTACATTGTTATAACAAATTAATACTCTTTGTCATAACCATGGCTTATGCATAAAGTATTATAAATGAACTTTTACATGCACATTTTGTCACATAGGTCCAGTTTAAGCTGTTCTCTTTGATGTCCTTTTCTAAATTAATTTCCCGTTCCTGCCTTCTGCTGAGAGTCACCCATTGGGTTTGTCACACGCATCTGGCTTGCCTATATTTAGGCAGAGTCTGCTCGCGTTCACAGTCACCATGTCATGACAGGCAGACTGTTCTGTGTTACGACGAGCACATAGCGATGCCTCCAGGAAGTGAACCTGGTTATTGCCTCAGAGGTAGAACATCAAACAGCTTGGCTTTTCCACTCCTGTTACTAGTTAAACCTCGGTGGAAATTGTGGGTTTTCAGTGATTAAGAAAAAGTCCACAATCACTGAATGTGGAAATTCCAGTTGGGCTTCACTGTCGGAGCGGGCAGTGTCTTTGTGGACGTTGCAGTATGTTTTTGTAGAGTTCTCTGAAAATGCAAAAATTTCACCTAAAAAAAAAAAAATCCCCAGATTCTTTTGATATGGTGTTTCTTCATCCAGTGCTTGAAGTAAAAATGTTTTTTGAGAGTTTTAAGAGCACTTCTCAACAACGTTTGCAGATTCCAGCTTGACCGCAGCACTTCCAAAACTTTTTTAAAGTTAAAACTCCATGAGTTACGAATTAAAACTCATTTGTTTTTATTGTTTTTTGCCATCTTTCTCGGAAACCACTGATCAAAACTGGGCATCTGGGTGCAGGCTATCAGAGTAAAGTGGTCGAGGAGGTGGAAGGGCCTCTACCGTGCACACAGCCAAGCTTAAATGATTGAAATTGCTTTAAATTGTAGAGGTTGATGTTTTTGGGGCTTATGCTAGAGGACTGACATGACAGGCATTGAAAAGGTTCTGTTTGAGAACTCTTATGAACTGCAAATAAAATGTTATTGCACTCATGATGATCTCTCCCTGAACCTCTCTCCTGTCTTTGTGCTTCTACCAGACTAACCTGTGTGGCTCATGCATCATTAACAGTATTTCTCAGGCAAAGGTGTGTAGATTTCCATGTAAAGTAAGATTACTACTGCAGTTCAGAGGCTCATTAGTTACCCAAGTTAATAATACCATTCTAATACAATAAAAACAAACATGAAAGCATGTGTACATTCTCTGTGCAGCTGAAATCCTCTAAAATCTCTAATTAAATATTTATGTAGGACCAAGAATTGAAAAATAGGACTTTCATCTTGTTTTACATGCACACTCCAGATCAGATGTCCCAGCTTGAGGACAGCCTCCTGGAGTTAGCCTAAACCTCATTGCGGAGTCTGAGGTCATGCCTCTGGCGAAGGAATACCCATCAGTCTAATGAGACTCTTCGGACGCATCGAATGAGCCACCAGGCCTTCATCTGTACTCAGGTGGCAGTGCAGAGAGTGAGCCGGCATATCTGTCTTTCTGTCCTTGAGAAAATGCTGACCTC